AATTTTGCCTTTTTTAGAATTTCATGTAAATGGAATCATAAACTATGTAGTCTTTTGTGCCTGGTATCTTTCATTTCACATAGTGCTTTGAAGATTCAGTCGTGTTGTTGCATGTATCAATAGTTTGTTCCTTTATATTGCTAGTAGTATTCCACTGCATGAACGTATCAAAATGTATTTATCCACTCACCAGTTGATGGATTTCTGGGTTGCTTTCAACTTGGGTGATTATGAATAGAGTTGCTATAAGCATTTATGTAGAGGTCATTTTTTGTAAATGGATATCCAAGTGTTCTACCACCATTTTTTGAAACGAGTATCCTTTCTCCATTGAATTACCTTGGCACCATTCTGAAAAATCCATTAACTTTCTATCTGTGGGTCTATTTCTGGACCTGTATTCTCTTCCATTGACCTATATCTATCCTTACACCAATGCTACACTGTCTCGATTACTGTAGCTTTATAGTAAATTATGAAGTAAATTAAGTCTTCTAAATTTTTCTTTTTCAAAGTCATCTTGGCTTTTCTATTTCCTGTGCTTTTCTATATAAAATTTAAAATCAGCTTGTCAATTTCTGCCAAAAAGTCTGTTGGGCTGTTGATTGGAATTGCACTGATTCTATAGATCACTTTGGAGAGAAGTTACATCTTAATATTAAGTCTTCTGATCAATGAAACTTGGTAGCTCTCCATTTATTTAGGTCCTTTAGTTTCATCAATATTTTGCAATTTTTATCATAAAATCTAGAACATTTTGCTAGATTTATCCCCAAATATTTTATGTGTTTGGATACTATTATAAGCGATATATTTTACTTCAATGTCAGCTGTTCACTGCTAGCAAACAGAAATACAATTGGTGTTAATACAGTGACCTTGTATCCTACGACTTCTTAGTTTACTAGCTTATTAGCTCTAACACCTTTTCAGTGATTCTGAGATTTTCTATGTAGACGATCATGTAGACAGTTTTAACTTCTTCCTTCTCAAACTGAATGTTTTTTCTTTCTTTCTCTTGCCTTACTAAACTGATCAGGACTTCCTGTACAACACTGATTAGAAGTGGTAAGCCTGGACATCCCTGACTTGCTCCCAATCTTAAATGGAAACTATTCGATCTTTCACCATTAAACAGAAGATGTTTCTTGTGCATTTTTCACAGATGCCATTTAAACAGGCGGAAGGACTTCTCTTCTGGTTTGCCGAGAATTTTTACCATTAATGGGTGTTTATCTTTGTCTGATAATTTTCCCGCATCTATTGGGATATGTTTTTTCTTTTTATTCTGTTAACATTGTGAATTACAATGATTGATTTCAAATGTTACACCAACTTTGTATTCCTGGGATGAGCCCCACTTGGTTATAATGTATATCCTTTTAATATACTGCTGGATTTAACTCACTAAATTATTGTTAAGAATTTTCGTGTCTCTGTTCATGGGGGATGTCAGTCCGTAGTTTTACTTTCCTGTGATATCTTGCTCAGGTTTTGGCGTCTCCAAGGAATATTTTCCCTTCCTTTTATTTTTAACTTACCTGTGTGTTTAATTTAGTCAGTTTCTTGAGGGCAGCATTTAGCTGGGTCTTGCTTTTGTATCTAGTCTTACAATTTCTTTTAATTGTTTACATGGTTTATTATTAATATAATTATTGATATGCTTGAATTTAAATCTCTCATTTTGCCAATTGCATTCTATTTGTCCTGTCTATTCTTTGCTCCCTTTTCTCCTTTTCCTGCCTTCTTTTAGATTTTTTTTAATGATTCCATTTTATCTCTATAACTGGCTTTTTAATCGGGCCACTTTTACTTTCTAGTAGTTGTTTCAGAGTTTATTAACTTATCATAGTCAACCGTCAAATATTACACCCCCTCATGTAGAGTGTAAGGCCATCACAGGCGATCCAGGTATTAGCAGTGGTTCACCTTTAGCCTCAGTGCCCCACTTCAAATTCTTTCAGTGTCGAGCTGCCCCTTGTGCCTAGTGTGGGGTTGTAGCGCGGGGCTGGAAGATGATTCTCAGCATTTCTGTTCTGCTTCAGCAGTCACTCACACCTGCACCACAGAGGGGCTCTCTTTCACACTCCTGCGCCTCTCCCAGTGGCAGTGCTGTTGCCTGCTATTCAGTGGCTTATTTGGGGGCCAGGTTGGTTCTTGGTCTCCTGGTCTTAGGCAGGGTCTGTGTGCCCACTCTTGGAGGGACGGGCTGGAGAGTCGTAAGCCTTTCTATCCCTCCCACTTGTGTCAGCTAGACCCTGCCAGGTATCTGTGGTGGTTCTCACGTGGGAGGGGTTTTTCTGTCCCTTTCCAGTGGTACAGACCTCTGCTTTGTGATGGCTCAGGGTCCTGGACCTAAGGGCATTTCTCACCCTCCCTTGGGGGGAAGACGGCTTTTGCTAATACCCTTCTCCTTCTCCGGATGCAGCACTCTGCCTGGCTCCTGCAGAGGGAAGGAAGATTCCTCGACCTTCTCCTGACGCAGAAGGGCGTGTTTGCCTCTACCCATCCCCCAGAGACCCTGGGGATGAGAGCACTATTGCCCTGTCCCCAGGGATTTAAGGCTTCTGCTTCAGAGGAGAACTGTGTCTGGGGAGGCAGCAGTGTTTCTCACCTGTTCCCCAGCAGCAATCACTTCTCAGGCCTACGTGAGAGATGCGGGCAGGGGAGGGTCTCTCCAGTCTTTTGCCCTGCCCAACTTCTCTTGTGACAACCTGGTGGAGGTCCGTGGAGAAGGGTTTGCAAGTGAGAACTCCCCTGGTGTGGAGCTCCCAGTTATTCTAAATTGATATGTGAGCCCACACTTGGACTTCAGGGAATTTAAAAAAATTTCGTTCTTTCTTCTGATTTGCTTCTATGGCAGCCATGTCTTCCTCTCATCTCTGTCAAAGGTGAACAGTTTGTGTGCCTCATCTCTCCTTGCAAGGGCTTGTCACACTTTGGAATTAAGTTCCCTTGATTTTCCTGTAAACTTAGCTCTCTGATAAGTTTAAGGAAAGTTATGATTTTTGTGAGCAATCTGGATTTTTCTTGTTAGGATGGGAGTGACATGCTCTTACAGCTTTCTACCTCCCAAGTAGAAGACAAACATAGGCTTATGTTTTGTATGTCTTTGCTTTTTAATTTCATTTTTTAAATAATTCTTATTATATTTTATAAAAATATTGATCTGTGACAGATTGGAAAAAAGCATTGTAAAGTAGTTATAGTTCTGACAAGACTGTCTAACCTGCGGGTGCCACAAGAACATTTCTTTTGGAACTTACGGCTACTTGCGGATAGCACAAAAGGTTCACACTGATTCACACTTAGCAGAGGGTAAGGCAGTAGGGGTGGTTAATAAAATATTTTCACTTCCAAAGGTTTATTAGTAGCCATGTATGATATAGTGCAGCTGACTTTCTCCCTTTCTTAAAGAGATTCACAGCATTTGTCCCAATTCTCCCTGATGTAAGGGTTAATTATTTAGGAATCTTTCAAAATGTCCCAGATTTCCTCTGGAAAAGGCTTATCAAAAGAAACCACAGATTTTACCAACCAGCAAAGGTGCTAACTAAATGGAGACATAATGAGAAGAGAAAGCAGCCTTGAAGCCACTTAGCAAACTATATCTCTAATTTTCCCTGATAAAGAGTTTAGAAGCAATAGTTATTTTAAAGTATGTTTCCGCATTAACACTCTTATTATGGACTTACCACTTTGTTGCTCTTTTGTCTATCTTTCTCAACAAAACAGTGAACACCTAAGGATGGTGTTGTATTCATCTCTGTACTTCTCAGTGTTTAGCACAGTGCCTGCCATATAGCAGCTTGGAATGAACATATATCGAATGAATACACACTGAATGAAACGAATAGACTGCACAATGGTTCTGCCTAGTATTTTCTTAGTATGTTTTTCCTCTGGGCTATATCTTGCTCTTACCTCCCTCTGCCTTCCTTTTTGGTGAGTGTGTATCAATAGATCTCACGTAATCTATATGCACCAGTGTCCGCCTGGCTCCTAAGTACCCGCTACTGTTTGAAGACTCTGCTAGCAGCCCTACCTACCTGATCAGCTGGCCTTGCACCTGTACAGAATCAGGGCTGAGACAGTTCGGCTCTGTCCGTTGTTTGGATGACCTGGCTGGCCTGGTGGTCAGCCTGTGCAGCCAGATAACTTCCCATATCCATCTCAGGGCCTGGGGTGAATGATTTCTATCTGAACCTGCCTATTTTTCCTCTTTATTGATCATGCGTACAGGGACTCATATACCTCAATCCCTGAGCCTCTTTGAGTCACAAAAGTACTTCATCTTATGCTATTATATGTTTTTTAAGTTTTCACATGCTGTGATCACCCTTCCATTATGATATATAAGGAGAATGCCAACGAAAGCAGAAATTATGTTTTTCCGTTTTGAATCTTTAAAAATTCCTAACATAGTATTATGCCTAGAGTAGACACACAATTACTGATCGAGACAATGAGCTGAACCCTGTATTGAAAGCCCTTCATAAGTCCCTTCCATGAATTAAGTCAACTGACATCTATACATTAATTTTCCTAACCACTCATTTCTATTTTCTCACATACCTCCATGGGAAAACTAATGTATGTCTCAAAGGGTGAAAATTTAATACCTAAGAGGACCAAACATACTTTGCAGTTCAATAAGGTTTACATTTTTCCATAATCATATACTAACTAATCTTACTAGTCCCACATATTTTATTTTTTTTAATTTTTTAATTTTTTAATTTTTTTTTTTAAAGATTTTTTTTTCCTTTTTCTCCCCAAAGCCCCCCAGTACATAGTTGTATATTCTTCGTTGTGGGTCCTTCTAGTTGTGGCATTTGGGATGCTGCCTCAGCGTGGTCTGATGAGCAGTGCCATGTCTGCGCCCAGGATTCGAACCAACGAGAAACACTGGGCTGCCTGCAGCGGAGCGCGCGAACTTAACCATTCGGCCATGGGGCCAGTCCCGAGTCCCATATATTTTAAAGAAGAGAAACTCTTACCCAGCCTTAGCAACACTTATGGTTTGTTGCTCCATTGCTTCATGGATACTGGTTCTGTCATGCTCTTTGAGGCTATTAAACTCATCAATACAGCAAAGGCCTGCATCTGCGAGGACTAATGCCCCAGCCTCCAAATTCCATTCTCCGGAGTCTTTTACAGCAGTCACTGTCAGACCTAAGGAAACAAGTGAGCTATGTCAGCGTTTATTTTCAAAAGCATGTCTTATACCTATGAAGGGAAATAAACACCTCTATTTTAAAGGGAAGGACATAGAGTCAGGGTTTTATTTCTAGTCTACAAAGAACGGATAGCATCAGGACAACTACTTCAGGTATCCAGTCACTGGAAGGTCAGGAGATCCTCTGTTCCAAAAATCGAATATGTGTTATAGAGCATTTTGTGGCAATCAGAATTTCCCAAATTTTCTGTCTCTCCTTGGTAGGTTACCTTCACTGAGTGGTCTACACTTTTAGAAGAAGCAAACAGATCTTCAGAGATCTTATGAGAAGTGCTTCTGTACTATATGCTATTTACAGAGAAGGGGCCAAAGACAGAGAAAAGTGATACTATAATCCAGTGATGAAAATGAAAATTTTGCTCCCCATCACAGTGTGAGGGAGAGGAATTCCTTCATATTTCTTATCTGGTTTTGATTCATCCTTTATACCAGTCAATAGCGCAGTGTGATCAAAAGCAAAGGCTCTAGAGTCACCTAGACTTGGATTTGAATCCTGGATCTGTCACTCTGGCAGCCATATTGTAGGCAAGTTTCCTAATATACCCAGGTCTCAGTTTAATCACCTATAAAAGGGGATAACAATGGAAAATATTTCATAGATTCTTGGATATTCAAATAGAATATAAATAAAGCTCTTTAAAAGGTATATGACACATAATGATTATTTATATTGTTGATAAAAATTGATAAACCTCTGGCTAGACTGATCAAGGGAAAAAAAAGAGGAGACACAAGTTACAAATATCAGAAATGAAAAAGGGGACATTACTACAGACCTATAGACATTGAACTAATAATACAGAAATACAATGAACAACTCTATGTCCTAAGTTTGATAACTTAGACAAAATGGTCAAATTCTTTGAAATATGTAAACTGCCAAAGTTTATCTAAATAGGCATAGATAACCTGCACAATCCTATATCTACTTTGAAAATTGACTCTATAGTTAAAAACCTTTCAACACAGAAATTTACAGGTTGGGATGACTTCATGGTGAATTCTACCAAACATTTATTGAACAAATAATACAATTCTAGACAAAATTTTCAAAAATATAGGAAAACAAGGAACACTTCCCAACTCATTTAATGAAGCCAGCATTATGATACTAAAAAGCAGATAAAGATATATTAAAAGAAAACTACAGATCATAAACACAGTTGCAAAAAATAAAAGCAAATCAAACAATACATAAAATGATAACAACATAACTAAGTGGGGTTTAATTTGAAATATAAGGCTAATTGAACATTCAAAACTTAATCAATACAATTCACTATATCAACAAACGAAGGAAGAAAAAGCAAATGACCAACTCAATAGATACAGAAAAAACATTTGACAAAACTCAACAATCATTCATGATAAAAACAACTCTCAGAAAACTAGTAATAGAAGGAACTTCTTCAATCTGATAAAGGATATTTATAAAAATCCTACAGTAAATATACTTAATGACAAAAGACTGAATGTTTACCCCCATTGCCACCCTCACCCCCAAGATCAGAATAAGGCAAGGAGAGCTGCTCTCACTACTCTTATTCAAAATCATCCTGGAGATTCTAGCTAATGGAATAAGGCAAAAAAAAAAAAAAAAAAAAAAAAGAACAACATACAGATTGAAAAGGAAAAACCAAAATTCTTTATATTTTCAGACAATATGATTATGTAGGAAATTCCAAATAATTTACAGAAAAAGTTACCAGACACAACTAATTAGCAAGTGTAGCAATACTGCACGATACAAGTCAATATGCAAAAATCAATCATATTTCTATATATTAGAAAAAACAACTACAAATTGCAATTTAAAAACAATACATTTATAATAGCACCCCAAAATATGAAATACTTGCATATAAAGATTAAAGATGTGAAAGATCTGTATGCAAAAACTACAAAACATTGATGAAGGAAATCAAAGATGACCTAATCAAATTGAGAGATATTCTATGTTCATGGAATGAACTGAAAAACTCAATATTTTTAAGATGTTTCCCCAAACTACTCTATAATTCTCCCAAAACTGTTCTACAGATCCAATGCAATTCCAAACAGAATCCTAGCAGGATTTGTCTTTTTATAGAAATTGACAGGGTGATTCTAACATTTATATGCAGAAGAGGGCCGGCCCAGTGGCACAGTGCTTAAGTTTGCAAGTTCCACTTTGGCAGCCTGGGGTTCGTGGGTTCAGACCCTGGGCACAGACCTACACACTGCTTATCAAGCCACGCTGTGGCAGCATCCCACATACAAAATAGAGGAAAATTGGGACAGATTTTAGCTTAGGGACAATCTTCCTCACAAAAAAATAATAATAATCTATGTGCAGAAGCAAAGAAAATAGAAGAGTCAAACCAAAAAACAAAGTAGGAGGTCTCACATGACCCGATTTCCAGATTTACAACAATGCCACAGTAATCAATTCAGTGTGGTATGGGAGAAAGGACATAGACAGAACAATGGAATAGAACAGAGTCCAAAAACAGGCTCACACATATATGGTCAAGTAAATTTTGATAAAAATGCAAAAGCAATTCAATGGAGAAAGGATAATCTATTCCATAAATGGTGCTGGAATAACTGGATATCCTTATATCCAGAAAAAAAATCAATCTTGATTCATATCTCGCATCTGATACAAAAATTGACTCATAATGAATTAAAGACCTAAATGAAAAATGTAAAACCTATAGAAGAAAACATAGGAGAAAAAGCTATGTAAGTTCTTCTGGTTTCTGGTCCAGCATTTAAGGAGCTTGGAAGTTGCTGCTCTATCCTAACAACAAGTAAAAACCTGAACAAACTGAAAAATCAACAATACTTCTAAGATCTATCAGAGAAATGAGGTCACAGAACAAACCACTGCCCTCAACATTCGAAAGACAGAAAAGGCAGAGAAGCACAACTTACCAGAGCAGAAACCTTCATGGGAACCAGTACTGGGATAGGAAAACCTGAACTGTAATTGACAAACTGCTGGAGACTCTGAAACTCTGAAAATTAAAAACTCCACAGGAACCCAGCCACAGGAGGGTCCCCACACTTTTGTGAGTTTTACTTCCAGGAGCTCTACTAGGTTCTCACATTGAATATAAACAATTTTTCTCTGACAATGTAAGAAGAGAGATGGAAAGTTTAAGGAAGAATTAAAAAGAAATTCTAGAGACCAAAAACACTGAGAAAGAAATGAATGCCTTTTATGGGCTTATTAGTAGACTGGACATGGCTGAGGAAAGAATGTTTGAGAGCAAGAACAGTCAATAGAAACTTCCAAAACTGAAAAGCAAAGGAAAAAAAGGATGGAAAATAACAGAATAGAATATGTATCCAAGAACTATGGAAGAACCAGAAAAGGTGTAACTACATGTAATGTATGTAATGAGAATACCAGAAGAAGAAAGAGAGAAGGAACAGAGCAATATTTGAAACAATAATGACTGGGCAATTTCCTAAATTAATGTGAGACAACAAACCACAGATCCAGAAAACTCAGAGAACACAGAGAAGGAAAAATGCTAAAAAAACTACACCTAGACATATCATATTTAAACTTCAGAAAATCAAAGATAAAGAAAAAATCTTGAAAGAAGCCAGAGGAATAAAATACCCTACCTATAGGGGAGCAAAGATAAGAATCATATCCAACTTGCCCCAGAATATTTAAATGCAATCTTAAAAATACGTTAATGCAGGGCCGGCCCAGGGGCCGAGTGGTTAAGTTCATGTGCTCTGCTTCGGTGGCCCAGGTTTTTGCCAGTTTGGATCCTGGGTGCGGACATGGCACCACTCATCAGGCCATGCTGGGGCGGCGTCTGGCATGCCGCAACTAGAAGGACCTACACCTAAAAATACACAACTATGTACAAGGGGGCTTTGGGAAGAAAAACAAAAAATAAAAAAATCTTTAAAAAAAATACGTTAATGCAAGAATAGCATTCACAAGTGAAGATATAATCATTCTAGGTTCTGCACTGGTTAGATAACTTACAGAGCAGGAGTCAGCAAACTGTAATCTGTGGGCAAAATCTGGCCTGGCCACCTGTTTTATAAAAATAGTTTTTTTGGAACACAGTCATGCTCATCATTTACATATTGTCTATGGCTGTTTTCACACTACAATGGTAGAGTTAAGTAGTTGTGACAGACACTGAATGGCCCTCAATGACTGAAATATTTATATCTGGCCCTTTACAGAAAAAGGCTGCTGACTCCTGATCTACAGTATTAATGTCTACTACAAGATATCAAATTTTAAAAGAAATACTAATTTAAAAAAAGAGTAAACAGGTAGTGAAGAACATGGACATAATGCCATTTAAAGGAGAGTTTATAGAATGGGGTATGATTAGCCTGAAGGAAAGATTTGGAGAAGAGAAAGTAATTTTTATGTATTTAGAGAACTATCCTATGGAAGAGGAATCAGACCAATTTGGGGCAGCTCCAAAAGAAATAACTGAGACCAACATGTAGAATTTTACAAGGAACTGATGAATACCTTGAGGTGCTTAAAAAGCAATGGGCTACCTTAAAAAGTAGTGAACTTTTCATCAAAGTAACTAGTTGAGCAAAAGTGGAATGTCTATTTGAAGAGAGAGTGTAAAAAACATTCATGCCATGAACAGGTCACTGGACAAAAGAGAAATTCGAAAACACTGAGATGAAAGAAGAGGCACATACCACAACTTACAGGAGGCAGCTAAAGCAGTGCTTAGAGAGGAACATAGCAATAAATGCCTACATCAAAAAAGAAGAAATATGTCAAATCAGTAATCTATGCTTCCACCTTAAAACACTGGGAAAAAAGGGAGAGCAAATTAAACTCAGCTCAAGCAGAAGGAAGGAAGGAAACATTAGAGCAGAAATTATTGAAATAGAGAATATAAAAACAATAGAGAAAACAAATGAAATCAAACATGGACAAACTTTTAGC